GGATCCGAACCCTCGGGTGGGAGCGCCACCGCGCTTCCCAAGCGGCGCACTATCCAGTGCGCCACCGGGCCGGCCCTTGAGCAACATATTTTAAACAAATTAAATGGATTTATTATGCTTACTTTTAGAGTAAATGGTTTTCTTATCTTTCTTAATATTTAAGGAAAAGAGTGAACACTAAAGGTAGAGCCACAGTGTATGGGTTGTTTTTTATTTGTCTTCTAAAGTGATGTGCAGGCCACTTCCTTTCTCTATGGGCCTACTTCGTCCATGTGTAAAAAGTGGTGGAGAGAGAGGTATTGGACAATAACTCAAAGGCTATAGTAATTTTACTCTTTTAAACCTTTTGACAAGGTTGTTTCCAGGATTACTATGGCATATAGGTATTTGAAAGGAGGTTGCATTGGAGTTCTTCTACAGCAATTTCAGCTTTTGTCTTCTAAACCAAATGTCCATATTAGTATTTTACAATAGTGAGTGAGAAAAATTGGGGTCCTAGAAAACATAATGACCTGCAATTGTTAGAAGCATTGCTTTTATTGTCCTCTTGGTGATATTAATGGCCTTCTTTCTAACCATCTTTTCCTCTTTACAAAAATAATTTGAAATAGTTTACAGTAAAAGAAAAATGCAATACGACAGTTAAAATAAGAATCTATATAACACATGGGAAGGAAATCGGGGCAAATCATTAACTATTAAATGTTATGATGGTCAAGAATCTGTGGTGTGATTGTCTCAAAATGGAATTGTCGGAAGAAAATGACTGGGTTAGAAGATTTTTTTCTTTATTTCTGATTGGGATGGATGAGTAGGGATAAAACTATCTTAGAAGGTTGAATTGATACGGATAGTTGATAATGAAGTAATTGGAAAGTAAAGGCTAATGAATTTTTGGCAATCAGGCTTGTTTCAAAATGGTTTTACAGAAATCTTTTCAATGAGTCATTGTATGTTGGTACAGTTATTCTTTGTTTCTTGTTCCTCCATGCTCTTTATTTTTAACTCCTTCTAGGGAGAACGTGGATTTCCAGGCAGTCCCGGTTTTCCTGGTTTACAGGGTCCTCCAGTAAGTTATAAAAGTTTGGATTATAATGAACACAGTAATTAACAGAAGCAGAAGTGTAGAGAGTGTGCAATGCATTCATATGGAGCGGTAGTGAAGGATTTTTTAAAAAAGAAGTTGGTAATATAGCTCTCTGCTGGGCAAAAGCAAGGATTCTATGGTATTTAATATAAATGTCATCTCTAAGTATCCTAAATTATATCATACTCAGAAATGACTCTACAGCAGTCCTATTCAGTTTGTACTCTATTTAGAAAGCATTGGGGTGTTTTTTTTTGTTTGTTTGCTTGTTTGTTTATTTTGCTTGCTCCCCTCTTATACATATAAAATAATCCCTTGTCGTTTTAATAATAGGGACCTCCTGGGATCCCAGGTATGAAGGTAAGCATCTTATGCTGGGAAGGTAAACATTTTGAGTAAAATATTTGGCAAGTCTGCAGCTTCAATATGATATGACTTGGACTTCTGTCTTAAAATGTATGCTTCTAGAAGTTGTGCAGGTGCACACTTACAAGCTCTCCTTAAGTAGTTTCTTCTGTTCCCCTGGCTTTAAATACCTTCTGTGTGCTAATACACTTGCAATTGTGTGTATCAGACTCAAGTTTCTTTTCTGACACTTTCAATCCTCATTTTATTACACTTTGATACAGTTGACAACCTATTCTTTCTAGAATTCTCTTTCCCCTGGCTTCTGTGACACTACCCTTTCCTGATTTTTTTTCTGTATATCTGGTTATTCCACATTCTTCTATGCAGCCTCATTCCAGTCTATCCAGCAAGCATTAGGACATAGTCCTGACCCTTCCTTCTCTTCTATGCTCAACAATATTATTGATGCCCATACTATTGATTACTGAATACCTACATTTGTATCTCCACATTAGAATTTTCCTGAGTTAGATGTGTGTATTCAGCTACTTCCCTGACATCTCCACTCAAAAGTGGAGACATTCAAATTAACACGTTCCAAGCTAACTTACCCCCCCAAAAATAAACCTGACTCTTCTCCCTCTGGCTCCCCATGTCTAAATTTGCATTGCTATGCATTATGTATTCTTTTACATGAAATCAAAACCTAAGAGTTACTATTTACACCTTCTACTTCTTCACACACATCCTCTTTCTCTACTATCAGTAAATACTATTAAGTTTGCCTGTAAAACGGATCTTAAATTCATCTGCTTTTCTCCATTTCCACCCTCACCACTCTAACCATATTGTCTCATCTGGACTACTGCAATGCTTCTTAACTAGTCTCTCAGAATAAACCTGATTTATTCTCTAAAAAGCAACCAAGAATGATCTTTTTTAAATGTAAATTAATAATTTAATCTCCCTGCTTATAAACCTTCAAGGGCTTCCCACTGTGTATCTAAGATAAAGTTTATATTTTTTCCATGGCTTATACGACCTGTATGTTCTTGTCTCTGCCTATATTTAGTCTTATCTTAAACCACTTTCTTTTGACTTACTGATTCACCGATCCACATTCAGTTATTTCAATGTGCCAAACTCTTTGCTTTTTGGATCCTTTGTACATAGTATTTACACTGCCGAACACTCTTCTCCCTACCTTCACCCAACTGACTCCTTTAGGTCTCAACCTGAATGTTACCTTCATGAATTGCCCTTCTTTTACTGCCCCAAATTAACTAATTTTCTTTACTATTTCTTTATCACTCACTGTACCATATTTTTTTTTCTTCATGGCCCTCGAGAGAACATGTTGTCATCTTATTTGTTTACATGTCATGATCTGTATTTTCTCATTACTTTGTTAGCTCCATGAGAACAGAGATCTTGTTTATCTTCTTTATTACTGAGTATCCAGAACCTAATACAATTCTTAGCAAATACTTAATATTTAACAAGTTATTTTTAGTGAATAATTAAGTGAAGATACCACAGGCTCTTAATAAATCTACTGTACTTCAGGGTACTCCGGCAGCTTTCTTATTTTCCTTTAAAAGTGAAATTTACTCATTTTAATTACTGAGATGACCCAATCTTTCAGTACGTTTACATGACAAATTGAATCCTCAGATCATTTTTTGTGCTCTTGCCAGTTTTCTTGTCTAATAACTGTTACTTACAACTTCCATTGATGGTTTCTTTTAGGGGGAACCAGGTAGTATAATTATGTCATCACTGCCAGGACCAAAGGGCAATCCAGGATATCCAGGTCCTCCTGGAATACAAGTAAGCATCCAGTGATTTTCTTCTTTGCTATATTGATTAAGTTAGAAGATTACAGCAACTCTTCAACCTTTAGTACCCTTTGTTTTAGTCATAGAAACCATCACCTGAAGTTTGCCAGATATTGAATGTACCCTCTATGTGAAAACAAAGCAATCTGGATTGGGAAGAATTTTAATAATCTGCTTTGTTCTTTTACCTTTCTATAAAGTTTCCATGGAAATTTTTGTTTGGGGGATTGGCAGCAGAAATAGGCTTCTATATTCTTATTTTTGTGCTGTGGGCAATAGTGGGGTCCCCTGTAAATGGTCTGGTTTAAAAAAATCATTTGTTTCCAAATTAAGATATTATTAAAAAGACATTACTTATAACACTATCAATTATGCATAGCATATGAACATATTTTGAAGGCAGAAGGAATATAATTTATGCATGGTGAACATCAAATTTAATCATAAGAAAAAATTATGTTAGCTTACAGATAACACATATAGAAACACCAATGCCTTTTGAGTATTTACAGGTAAGGAGGTCAATTTCTTGGGACTTATATTTCATGAGAATTTATTCATTTGCCAACGATAAAAATCAGTACTTTCTATTTGATCACTAAGATACAATGATGGGTAATTTTTTCATTATTTACCTTCTCATTCCTTCCTTGACATCACCCATCCATATTCCCTTAAATTTGCTCAATCTTGCCCTTTATAAATTCCTATTATGTAATATTTAAAAATACAACAAAATACATGCAAAATATATGTATGTTATGAAGCATAATTATAAAATGAACACCTATGAACACTACACATTTAAGAACTAGAACACTACAAATAATTTTGAATCAACCTGTGTCTTTCTTGGCAATCATATCTTTCTGCATTCCCCCAAGATATAATTGCTATCCTGAGTTTTCCATTGCTCCTTAAAAATAGCTTTATTACACATATCTCTAAACAATAGAATATTTAAACAATAGAGATCTAAACAATCTTTAACAATAGAATATTTAGTTTTGCTGTATAAAAATAATGTAATATTCATGTAGTTTTCTGTAACTTTTTTTTTTTTGTACTTGATATGTTAAGATTCATCCATATTATCGCATAAGGCTATAGTTTGCTCAGTTTCACTTCCATATAATGTGGTTGTGAACATACTAAAATTTGTTTTGTTACAAACCAATCCAGGATTTATACCTAAGCATAGAATTGCTGGATTGCCGGACAAGCAAATTTTCAATTTTTAAGGTGCTAAATTATATTTCATAACACTTGTATCATTCCCTTCATTTATCCCAGTTATTCTAATTTTCATTTTTCTCGTTAATCTTATTTATTTTAAAATCAGAGAAGTTACCTTTCCCCTCCCATTTCTCACCTAAAAACCCCACTAAATGCCCACCTTTATTGATTTATTTTGTAAATTTCCCAAATTATGTGTTTGTCCTAATTTATCTACCACTGTAAAACAAACTTTCTGAAAGCTGCATTCATTCTATTTAATTGAATTTCTTTACAGTTACTTAATCTATTTATTCCTCTGCATTTTAAAATTCTGCAGAATTATAGAATTGAAAGAGATTTCCAGTGACAACTCAAGTTTAAATTTCATCCATTTGTTCTTTGTAAGCTACAGTGAAAGGCTTTTTTTCCCTCATCTTTTTCTTTATTCCCTTTATAACAGGGCCCTGCTGGTCCCACTGGTATAACAGGACCAATAGGTCCCCCAGGACCACCAGGTTTGATGGTAAGCTTCTTTCTGTAATTTTTTTCTTCTTTTTTTCTGACTTCGTTCACAAATATTATTTATAATTCTTGAAAGTATAATGCATTTTCAATATTCATAATCTATAATTTTCTTATGTAAGGGCAATTTTATGATGTTATGCTGAACAATATGCATTCTAAGTAATAGTTCCATTTATAAATAAAAAAATGAGGTACGTAAAAGTTAAGATTTAGGGCCGGCCCCGTGGCTCACTCAGGTGAGTGTGGTGCTGATAGTGCCAAGGCCGCGGGTTCAGATCCTGTATAGGGATGGCCGGTACACTCACTGGCTGAGCGTGGTGTGGACGACACCGAGCCGAGGGTTGCGATCCCCTTACCAGTCAAAAAAAAAAAAAAAAGGAAAGATTTAAAATAAAGCATTTTGTTTGTTGCCTCTTGGTGTGTCAGTGTTAAAGTCAATTCTGGCTATCTTAGAAAATGTTCTAAGGAAGTTCTATAGTCACTTGATGAAACATGTTTCTTCAAACTACTATTTTTTGTTTAAGAAGAACAAAAACAGGGCTTCACACACACAAAAATCAGCTCTCATTCCTTAGGGGCCTGGGACAAAACAGTAGGATTGACAAAAGGAGTGATCACTCTGCATTGGGATCATACACTTGTGTACCCCAGGAGAGAACTGAAAACTTCTAAAGACCCTGAATGTGCAACCAGTTCTCTTACTTTACTACTTCTGTGGTCACTCTTATTTTCTACTCTACTAAATTCTAAGTATTTTTGACCCATAAAGTACTTAGACTTTATTCAAGTCGTGTTTTGGATTCAGAGCTTTGCTGTTGCCCTCTTAAAAGGGCAAGAAAACTGTATTTTTCTCATGTGCCACTCTCTCTTATCTACCCTATATTTAAGTGACAGTTTTCATTATACCTTTATAGATTGTATATTTTTTTGTGTGTGACAAATGGTCCTCTACTCTAGAAAGAAGGAAATAATGTTTGGTAAATACTGGAAGAATCTGTCAGAAAATCTGTGATTTCTGTTTTCCTTGAACTCTTTGGGAAAAGATTAGAAAACCATTTTGTTTAGTTCGTTTTAGTTGGAGACCTCCTGTGAAGCATGAGACTCTAGACTGTGGCACTTTTTCCTAACTCCGCTTTAAAACATTGGTTTACACTGGGAGTGCTGTTACACCTTGAATTTCCTTAACCTGTGTGGTGGTCACTTAGCCGATTGGCTCTACACTTTTGGTTGTTCCTTCAATTAACCCTGATTTGACAGGTGGGGCGAAATCTTAGAAATGCCACCAAGGTAAAATATGTAAATAAATAGGTCCATTGAGATTAAGAGGTGATATACTTGGGCAGACAAATGCTTATTTAATTTTTCAAACCTTGAAACATTCTCAAATATACAAAGTAAGATTGCATAAATATAAAACAGTACTTAAAAAACAAACACATGCTTTTTAGAACGTGAGAATTAATTGTTTTATGGTACGTAAATTACTTATAATTCTGATATGAGGAGTTTGATATGTTTGTTGAGGTTAGATTTTTAGTTGATTTGTGGCACTGGTGCTACCCCTCTACCTGTACCCATCCTAATTTTCTTCCTCTGCTCGCTCTTGTTCTGTCACCAGAAGTCTCCATATTCATCTAGTTTGTTTTAATCAATTCTAATTTGTGTCTCTGACTAAAAAGCAATGAGGGAAAAAACAGAAAAATATTATTTTGAAGTGCTTTTTCAGTCCTTATATGAAACCAAATAATTTTTCAAATAAATTTATTAATATAACATTTTTTCCCTTTTTCTGTGTCTTCTAATCTTAGGGCCCTCCTGGTCCCCCAGGACTTCCGGGACCAAAGGTAATTTTTTTCTTTATATTTTTTATTTGGTGTGGATTATTTTTCTTATTGTCAATGAGATTTTAAACTGAAATCTCTCTCTTCAGGGGAATATGGGCTTAAATTTCCAGGGACCCAAGGGTGAAAAGGTGAGTAAATGAAAAGAATTGGTTTTTCAGCTCTTAGCTTTCTCCTTTCATAGTCATTTAAACTATATTTTTCCTTCTCTTATATTACTGTCTGTGGTAGATTATGAAATGTCACTGCCTTATTTTATCTTGCAAACAGGGTGAGCAAGGTCTTCAGGGCCCACCTGGGCCACCTGGGCAGATCAGTGAACAGAAAAGACCAATTGACGTAGAGTTTCAGAAAGGAGATCGGGTGAGTAGGTAGGGAGGAAGTCAATGAAAATCTTGCTATGATATGTTAATTAGCTTGATTGTGGTAATCATTTCACAATGTGAATATATATCAAAACATCACGTTGTACGCCTTAAATATATACAATATTTATTTGTCAATTATACCTCAACGAGCCTGGGAAAAATAAAATAAAAACCTAAAAAAATCTTGCTATGGAAGTGGCATTCTGTCAGAATGCATTATGAGATACAATAATGGTTATATATGAGGATTTTTTAAAATAACAAGGATTTGAGATAATTAAATTTTTTTTTTCCTTTTTGTCTTTTTTCGTGACTGGCAACGGATCACAACCCTCAGTGTCGCGCCCGTACCGGACTGGGACCGGCAACGGGATCGCAACCCTCGGTGTTGCTCCCATGCCTCGCTCAGCCAGTGAGCGGCCGGTCTGTATGTGGGATCCGAACCCTCGGCGGGAGCGCCACCGCGCTCCCAAACGGTGCACTGTAGCAGTGCGCCACCGGGCCGGCCCGAGATAATTAAAATTTTAAGGAGTTTTATTGAGATATAATTTACATACCATACAAGTCACCAGTTTAAAGTGTACATACAATTCAATTTTTTGGTTTAGTTTATTCACAGGGTAGTAAAATCATGAAATCAACACCACACTTTAATTTTAGAAAATTCTTATCAGCCTCCCCCACAAACTTCCATACCTATTACTGGTCACTCCCTCTTTCTCTCCAAACTCTTCAGACCTAGGCAACCACTAATCTACTTCTGGGCTCTGTAGATTTGTCTGTTCTGTATATTTCATATAAATTGAATAGTACAAAATGTGGTCTTCTGTGTCTGGCTTCTTTTACTTACCACAATTTTTTTAAGTTCAACCATTTTGTAGCATGTATTAGTACTTCATTCCTTTTTATGGTTAAATAATATTCAACTGTGTGGATAGTCCACATTTTGTTTACCCATTCATCATTTGGTAGACATTTGAGTTGTTTCCATTTGTTGCTGTTTGAATAATACATTCATGTATAAAATTTGTTCATGGTAAGGTAGATTGTCATTGTCTTAGATGACTGTGTTCTCTATATTTTACTGATGTGCAAAGAGGAAGATAATGTTACTCTATAAGCCTTTGTTGTATTTGGAAATCTGATACCTTGCTTCTACTAAAGTAGATGAGGGGATCAAATCTATTTTTATAGCATACTGGCCTACTGTTAAACAAACAGGGTGTGTGCATTTTTGTTTCATATAAATGGCAATAAGAAAGTTAAGAATAAAGGAAAATTGTAGTGAAATTCTACAGTCAATATGGATCGGACCATTTAATTCTCTGCCAAAATGTGTGTGTGCTATGTGGCCCCCAAATGAAAATTGAGCTCCTAGTTTTAGGTACTCTTGTTTTTATAAAATATTTTATAAGAATTAAAAAAAATCATTAATATTTTCATTTTAAGTGTTGTTTTATTATTTGCCTCAAAGCTTTGCTTGTGTATACACTAGAAACTAACTGAAGTGAGCAAAGGTGGCTCTAGGTTCTTTTGCAAGCAGAGTTCAACTTTGAATTGGAAACATCCTATTATCTTTGATTATAATACATGAGTCTGTAGATCAGTTTTTAAAAAAGTGTTCCTAGCTAGATCTAGTAGTTAGAAAGAGAATGTATATTTCAATATTAACATTTTTTTTCTTTTCCTCTGCAACTGGGTAGGGACTTCCCGGTGACCGAGGGCCTCCTGGATCTCCAGGGATATGTGGTCCTCCAGTAAGTAACCTAAAATGCTTTAGCATCATTTAATATAAATTGGTATTGATACACAGTATGCAGTGAACCAATGTGAAACTACTTTTTTGTGTGCAGGGTCCTCCAGGTGGTGTGAAAGGTGAGAAGGGTGAACAAGGAGAACCAGGCAAAAGAGTAAGTGTTATGACGACTAATGCTGTTTATACAGAAAAATTCTAAGTGTGTGTGCGTGTGTGTGATTTTGTTCTTTCTTCCTAAATCCTACTTTCGTTGCCTGAGAATATCACTACTGACATACTTATTGATTATAATATTAAAGTCCAAAATGTTTACTTAATATAGTGCAGTGCAGCAATAAAGCTTGTTAGTTCTTTAACCTCATACTTTCTAACTAACAAAACTATGTTCTTGCCCCATCATTTCTTTGTGTTCTATAGGGTAAACCAGGCAAAGATGGAGAGAATGGCCAGCCAGGAATTCCAGTGAGTAGCTGAGGACATTTTCACCCCCAAACTAGTTGCCTTTTGAATAAGAATTCTTTCACATAGCATAATGCATTTTACTGCATATCTGTACTTCATTCCTTTTTATTGTTGAGTACTATTTGATGTGTGGATATATCAAGGTTTGTTTATTTATTTACCCATTGAAGGATTTTTTGGTTGTTTTTGGTTTGGGCTATTATAAATAAAACTACTATAAACATTCACATACAGTTTTTCGGTATGAAAATAAGTTTTCTCAGTAAAAGTTTTGGTGGGTAATTGTAATTACTAAAAAAAGAGGAAAATAAAAACATGCAAGTCCAGGAACATTATTTCAAGCAGCTTCAGTATCAAAATATCCACAGTAGGCATTAGAAGAGGTTTTCAGAGACAGAAGAATTGATGAAATTTGTAGGCCATTCCAAAGGAAGAGGATAATTCTTAACAAGACAAAAAGTTAGAAGTACTGTAATCAGATAAATTGATTTCAAGATGATTTACTAAACAGGCAGTCCTCAGCCTACAAACTTTGGTTCACAAAAAAGTTTAAATTATAAAATAGTGTAACAAGAGGTAAATTCAGGGCCTCAGTTTCTGGCTTCTTTTGGAACAATTGGTGATTCAGGCAGCCATAATATTCAATAATTGCCTTTGATTGTTCTCAACGAATTCCCAGGGATGGGGTTGGAAAAGAGGCTATTCTTTGTCTGCACTGGGAGAACCCAAGTCAGGTCAAATAAAGACAGCCTTACAAGTGGGGTCTCTTTGCAAAGCATCAGGCTGATCAAATAATGACAGTTCTCTGGGAATGGGGCTTTGAAGGAGCTCAGTCCTGTTCTTTCCTCTTCAGTTGCTGCTAAGCTGCTGGTTTTCAGCTTGATTGTGAGCTACTGATTGTCAGGGTTACTGTGGAGCTGAAGAAGGGTGATGGAAATGGAGCAAGTTAAAATGCTACAAAGTTCTGTGTTCTTGTGTTCTTCCCAGGATTCAGCCTTTTTTCCTCTCTCTCTTGAAAAAAAAACTGCTTAGATTGTGGCAAGTTTTGGTTAATTTCCAGTTCTTAAAAGGTTATTCTGACTGACCATTTTTGTCAGTGTTCTCACTGCTTCTATGGAGGAGAGGATTTTTGGAGGTCCTTATCTACCTTTTTTGCTGATGTCATACTGTCTTCTATGTTTTAAAGGGTTTGCCTGGTGATCCTGGTTACCCTGGTGAACCAGGAAGGGACGGTGAAAAGGTAAGAATTTTAATACTTTGAAGTGACTGGTTTTATTGTAATAAATATCTGCTTTTCTCCCAAAAATGTTATAAATAACTAGCTTTTGTATCTAAAACATGCCTTCTTTATCTGTCATTTTGGTGTTACTCCTTTTCTTTTATGCCATATGCTCTAAGTTTTCTTTCATTGCCCTAAATCACAGTCCGTGTGGTGGAAATACATGAAGAATTGTTTACCTTTAGCATTTCCATTGCAAAAAGTCAGTGCCTTTACTTTGAGCATGTATTGGCAAAACTTTTGTTTTCCAGAAAGAGGATTCAGCACTATTTTAGTGAGGTCCTCATACTAAAAGGGCTGATAGCAGTGAATTTAGAATGTCTCCATTAAACATTTCCATTTTGTATGCAATTATTGTCTGTAAGTCTATGGCTAATTCTTTGTCTTTTTTTTTTTTTTTCTCGCTGGACCAATGCAGTCTAATTGACTCAATTATTTAGTTCCCTATTTTAAAATGACTTTAAAAAATTCTGTGAACCGCACAATTACCCTATTTTTAGCAGGTCACAAAATATCTAGTCCTCCAGTTTCTCTGGCCTCTAATTGCTTTGTATCAAAACCAAACTGAAAAGCTTTGTTCTTCAGGCAAGGAGGGAAAGGTGTTATAAACTTGAATGTACACAGAGGGTGGCTTATCCCTAAACTAGATCCAAGTCGTAGCTTGGCCTAAAAGGCACAGTTAGAATAAAGGGAGCTTGCAAATACTCAAAGAACAGGATTTTTTTTTTTTCATGAACTAAGTAAAGTTATAGGACACAGTAACTCCTTAAACTAAAAGGAGTTTATATATACCATTAATCCTTTCTTATCTGTGGTTTCTCCTTCTACAGTTTTAGTTACCTGAGGCCAACTGTGCTCCAAAAATATTAAATGGAAAATTCCAGAAATAGACAACGTTTCAAATTGCCCACCATTCATAGTGTGATGAAATCTCGTGCCTCCCCTCTCTGTCCCACGAGGAATGAGAATCATCTTTTTGTCCACCATCTCCACACTGTGTAGGCTACTTGCCTGTTAGTCACTTCGCAGCCTTCTCAGTTATTGGATTGGCTGTGGCGGCATTGCAGTGCTTGTGTTCAAGTAGCCCTCATTTTACTTAATAATGGCCCCAAAGTGCAGGAGTACCGTGCTTAAGTTATAAATTAAACTTTATCATAAGTATATATGTATAGGAAAATACATAGTCTACAGTCATCCCTCTGTGTCTGTGGGTTCTGCATCTATGGATTCAACCAACAATGGATCAAAAATATTCGAAAAAGATAAATAAAAAATAACAATACAATAATAAAAATAGTAAAGATTTTTTTAAATACAGCCATTTACATAGCATTTGCATTTTATTAGGTATTATAAGTAATCTAGAGATGATTTAATGTATAGAGGAAGATGTGCGTAGGTTATATGCAAGTACTATGCCATTTCATATCAGAGACTTCAGCATCCATAGAGTTTGGTATCCGCAGGGGGTCCTGGAACCAATTCCCCGTGGATACTGAGAAACGACTATGTAAAGAGTTCTGGTACTCTCTGTGGTTTCAGGCATCCACTGGGGGGTCTGGGAACTTACTCCTTGAAGATAAAGGGGACTACTGCAGATAAAAAGTTTCTGTGAAAAAGTTTAGAATCAGAATAAAGGTATAGGAAAGATATCTCTCCCTGGATCTTGGCCAGGAGAGTAACAGTTGAATATTGTGTTTTTCATGCTGTTGTGGCTACTGACCAGGATAAAAGTTTTGTCTGAATTGGTCTTTCATTAGCTTCAAGGAGCAAACTCATAAGAGCAATTAAGATTTATTAGGTGTTCTTCATGATAAGTCCATCACTTCTAAAACATCTGTCACAAATAGAAATGACACTAGATTTATGCCCTTGACTAGTTTTATGACAAGGAACATGATTAAATGTAAAAAATGTAATGGTTTAAACTGATTATAGTGGTATCATTTTTTTCATTATCTTCTTTTTAGAGTATTTATAGTTTGCTAGAAAATAGGAATCTTAGAATCAAGGAATGCTTCAGCTAAAAATACCCTAGAAATCTGGTCCAAAGTCTTCATTTGTTGTACATAAGCCAGAGAAGTTAATTGATTTGGTCAAGATTATACAGCTAGTAAATTTAGTACAACATCACAGATCTTCCTGGGTTTATCCCAGTATTATTTCATTACCTCAAGTTGCATATTTGAAGTATTTTATTATTGATTTTTGGATCTTTATGAAACTTAATTACCTGTTATGTTCTTGAGGAAATTGATGTTTCCCTGTGATATTTACTAATCTATTTTGCAATTACATTAAACAGGGCCAAAAAGGTGACATTGGCCCAACTGGGCCTCCTGGACTTGTAAGTTTTCTTTTTTTTTTTTAGTCTTCATTTATCAAATTTATTAATGCATTATCTTTTTTGTGTCTTAATTATATACTCCCTACCTTTTCCTCATAGAACACCAAATTCCAAGTCCTTATGAACTTCTACTGCCTTAAAAGTCTTTACATTTGGGCCGGCCCGGTGGCGCACTGCTACAGTGCGCTGCTTGGGAGCGTGGCGGCGCTCCCGCCGAGGGTTCGGATCCCACATGCAGACCGGTTCCCGCTCACTGGCTGAGCGAGGTGCGGGCGCAGCACCGAGGTTTGCGATCCCGTTGCCGGTCCCGGTCCGGTATGGGCGCGACACTGAGGGTTGCGATCTGTTGCTGGACACGAAAAAAGACAAAAAGCAAAAAAAAAAAAAAAAGTCTTTACATTTAAAAACTTCAGTAGTACTGGCCTCATGGTCTTTGTATTATTCTGCCTGAGTATTACTTCTCCATAATAAAGGTCGAAAATTATGGCATTGGGTTGTTTTGCATCATGATTGCCAAATCATTTCTCAAGCAGCCAGCAGGTGGCGCAAGTGTTGTTTACAAAGGTTCAAGAAAAAGAAAATGTTGGAGAGGTGGGGATTGGTCCTTTCCCCTGCAGAGCTCAAGGGAAAGATTGATTTGGTCCTAATAGCTTTTCTCAATTTGTAATTGTCTGATTCACACCTCTTTCTTTCCTGAGTGTGTGCTTTCTAGGGGCTCTTAATAACAAATGTAGGAAACTGCTCTATGAAAGAATAATTGGGGGGTTTACAGATTTTCTGTCTTGTTTGAGTTCAACATGAAATTTAAGTCAAATATATTTTCAGTCTTATTAAAAATAAAATATCATTGCTGAAGTTTGACATATTGGTTTTTTTTTGTTGTTGTTGTTTGTTTGAAATTTGGTAAGACTCTTGACTTTAGACTGCATTGAAGCCACAACAGTGCAAGTGCCATAAAACTTATTCTATATATTCATACATTTTAGTAGTTTTAATTGTTTTGTCCACAGTGAATCTCAGATATTAATACTTAGGACTGTACGAAATCTAATGAGGACATACTTAAAGAAGACCTTAGGCATTTTTTATTCACTTTCATTTTAAAAATCAGTTTTAGTTCTCTAGAAAATAACCTCTTTATAAAATGAGATGATAAAATTTTGTTGAGTATCAGAAGAAATGGGAATTTTGAGAGTGCAGTCACATCTAGCAGCTCACTTTCCCTTTCGAACCATGATCCCAATTTTACGTCCTACAACTTTTGGTCTCATTTTGTGTGAATATTTCTTATGTCCCATAGAGGCAAGATGAAATATCACACTTTGCCAATAGGTGTTGATTTTTTCCTCAGACTGACAGTTTCTTAGATCTGAAGCTTATTTACCCTTATAGGTATATGAAGTGAATTTTTACATATTAGTTTATATAATATGGCATTCTTTAGAACAGACTTAAGTACTGTGTTCTAAAAAGACAGGGAAAAAGGAAATGATCAGTTGGTTGGGATTAATCAATAAAGCCTTGCTGGAAGAGATGAGGGTTTTTTTTTTTTTTTTTTTTTTTTTTTGTTTTTTTAAAGCAAGAAAGAAATTTGGATTGATAAAGGTGAAGACTGGGGGAAGGCATTACAGATGTTTGGAATGGCATATGCAAAGACACAGTTAAGAACATGCAAGTTGCATGAAGTGGTTATAAAAGGTGAAGACTGGGGGAAGGCATTACAGATGTTTGGAATGGCATATGCAAAGACACAGTTAAGAACATGCAAGTTGCATGAAGTGGTTATAATCAGATAGACTATACTACAAAATTATTGCTAGAAATAGGAGACAAAATAGGTGGGAGAGCAATTGGAAGTGAGAAGTGACTTGACAGAGGCCAAGGTTAAAAGTAGCATCATATATAGTAAGAAATAGTGAGCAATTTTGAGTCCTTAAAAAGGGTAGTTAACACAGAAAAATTGTTTTTTTGAGGAAGCATATACTAGCTATTGATTTGGATTCAGAGAGATATACTTAGAGGTGCTTCTGTTAGTCCAAGTGTGAGTTGAGGATAGTAGCTGTGGCAACAGGAATGAAGGGAGCAAATTGGAGAGACATTTCCAGTAAAGAATTGTCAGGCTTAGGTGACTGGAATAAATCAAATGTGAATTATAACAGAAGAGACATCCAAAATACTTGTAGCTTTGTATGCCTCACACTCAGGAGGATGGTAATGTTGTTACTGGTATTGGACATTTTCTAATCAGTTGGAGGATGAGTCATCTAGAATATGACTCATAATCTGTGTAGTAGTCTTAATGATTTTATATCTCAGCACTTTGTAAAATAATGGCATTGTAATCATGTATAGCTGCTAGATTATTTTCAGCAGAGCGAGACTCTTACTCTTTGAGTTTCTTTCTTTATTTTTTTCTTTCACAATAAAGGTAATTCCTAGACCCGGGACTGGTGTTACTGTAGGAGAAAAAGGAAACATTGGGTTACCTGGCTTGCCTGGAGAAAAAGGAGAGCGTGGATTTCCTGGACCACAGGGTCCACCTGGCCTTCCTGGACCTCCAGGTAAAAGAGACTGTATGAGTACTTATGTCTTGGTGCTATAGCATTTTTGCTAATCCATGTATACACTTTATCACACAGTTCCAGAGTAAGCATGGCAGTAGAAGGCATGAGTCCTTTTTAATTGACAGATACTTTCCAACTCTTACTATAGCCTTTCTCACCAAATTACTCACTTGTACTTTTTTTTAAAGTCCACTTGAGTAGTGCCCTTCTATCTTAAGAATCCCATTTCTACATTTTATGATTAATAAATTACATCAAATAATTCTGTGATACAGTAAATGAATTATCACACTTTTTGTACTACTAGGGACGGGGATGCTGCCGTACTAATGGCTAGTTTTGCAAGATTTCTGTATAAAAATGGTAAATAGCACTATCCACTTAGAATTCCAGAAACATCTAACTAGAAATCCCCATGACGATTTTGCTGTTCAATGAATATTAGGGCTGAATACTGAGTTTTATATCATTCCCTTTGAAGACACACATTATAGTGGAACATTTCTAATTTGGCTGCAAATTGAGCATTGACCTTTTCTATCATGTTTATGTGGGTGTTCTTTGAAATGGGGTAATTGTAGGAATTAATGTAAAATTTGCAAAAGCATCTGGTGTAGTACCTGGCACACATACATCTTCAATAAATTATGGTTCCTTTCCCTTCAGAAATACGTTGCTAATGAAAAATTAACTTGATGAGATGGCTAACACTCTGATCCTTTTATAGAGAAAGAGAATAAATGTGTTCCATTATGTTCTAAGTATACACTTTGGATTTCTAATCTCAAGATAGTGCTAAATACAAATACATACTCTGTAAGGGAAATTGAAATAAGGAGTTATCCCAAGACGCAGTAAAAGAGTTAAGGAATTCAGAAGTATGAAAGAAAAGTTAAGAGGCATAAAGGATAAACATAGAAAGTTTCAAAATCCATCATGAAGGAGTTCAAGGAGGAGAGTATTTGTGGCAGTATTTGAAAAAAATAATGGCTGAGAACGTCCATCTATTAAAAACTACACAAATCCCTGTGAAAAAGCTCATGAAACACTAAGCAAGAGTAAAATAATAATAATAATAATAATACAAAGTTCTATAAATAGACACATTGTAGGGACATTTCACAATTCAAGGATAGAAAGAAACTCTTACAAACTATCCGAGAAAACAGGCAGATTACCTACAAAGCAGTAAGAGTCAGAGGAAGATAATGGAGCACATTTTCTAAGTGATAAGGACAAGTAACTATGAATTTGGGATTCTATATAACACTAAAATAACCTCCTAGTGTGAGGATGGGATACCTAGAAAGTTTAACACCTGCATACCCTCTCTAAAATAGTTACTGGAGGTTTCACTGCAAGAAGAGGGAAAGGAATTCAGAATGAAGTGGGGGTTGGGGTAGGACGCAACAACCAATGGTTAGGAAAGATATTACTGAAGCATATTTAGTTGAAATAAGTACTGATCATTAAAAAAATAACAAAGGTGTTTTAAGTAACAGTGTGGAACTGTAATTGTGAACATCATTAACACAGGATGTCTTAAGTGCAATGAGAATGGGGGAAGTCAGTGACAAGGGAATGATAAGTGGTTTTTGTTATTGTTGTTTTATTAGAGGGAGAGAATATAAATATTATTAACTTAAAAGTTTTTAGAAAATATACGTTTAAGTGCATAGGTTAAATTTTTAATAGTAACCACTAGAGAAAAATAGAAATAACCTGTATGATTTACACACCAGTTGAAAAAAGAAAACCACCAAAATTCTTCTATGTAATAGAAGTTAGGATTGGGACAAAACAGACAAGATAAACCTGGGTAAACAGAAAATAAAACATAAGGTGACAAGAATTTAAAAAATAAATCAGTAACTCCAACAAATGTGAAAGGACTAAACACTGATTAAAAGACACTGACTAAAATAGAATTGGAATAAAAATATCTATATACTGTGCACAATAGATATATCTAAAGCAAAAATACAGTGGAAATTTGAAAATAAGGCCAAGAAAAGATATATTGGGCAAATGCTATCAAAAAGAAAGCTGGCTTAGCAATTCTAATATAGTATGAATAGAATTCAGTGCAGAAAATGCATTAGAAAGACAGTCATTTTATATGGATAAATAAACAAATTATACCACAATATTATGAAAGTCATGAAACTTTATGCATCTAACAATATAACTTTGAATATATAAAGTGAAAACTGTCAAACTATAAGGGATAAATTGACAAATCCGTACATACCAAGTAGGTAAAAAATAGGGATGTAAATTATTTGGACAACACAATCAAGCTGTATTCATGGGGGAGAGAGAGAAAAACTCTGTGTGCAGCAGAAAATATACATTCTTTTCAAACAAATATGGAATATTTATAGAAATTGTCTCTACTAGACCAGAAAAATATCTAAAGAAGTTATATGCAGGTTATACTCTGTAATCGCAGTGAAATAAAGTGAAAAGTTAACAACAAAATACACCAACTATTTTTATATCTGTATATTAAGAAACACAAATATAAATAACTCTAGAGATGAAAAGGAAACAAATAAAAGTGATAGACTATTGAATACTAAACAAATGAAAGTACTTCATATCAGAACTTATTGCATATAGCCAAAGCAATACCCTTAATTTATCATGAAATGAGAAAGAATAAAAGTAAATGACCTGTGTTTAAAACATACACAGACACACACACATACAATGAAACAAGCACAAACAAAGTAGGAGGGAAACTTTAACAAATATAAAAGTTAAAATTAATAAAATAGGAAATAAACTCAAATAATTATAGTTGAATAGGGAAAATAAAAGATGATACTTTGAGTGAAGAGCATTTGAAGTGAACGTAACTTGGCAAATGCAATCCAAAAAAAAACGAGAAAAGGTACAAATAAAGTTAGTAAAGAATAGGGATTATTACTATAATTAAAATTAAAATTTTCCAATTACAAGAAAACTATAGAACTATACTAATATATTTTAAATTCTAGATAAAATATAAATTCCTCATGAAACAGAAAACAGATTACTAAAGTTGTCCTGAGAAAGTAGGAAACCTAAGTAGGTCAGTTAACATGGAAGGTTTGGGAATGGTAAAGATCTCCATGAAAAATGCACTGGTTTTATGGTGGTTTTATAATTTTATTAATGAATTCTACCAAGCTGTCAAAGAACAGATAATTCCCACATTTTAAACTATTTCAGAGCATTTTTAAAAAGGAAATTTAATTTAATAGCATTGATACCAAACCACCAAGGAAATAACAAAAATACAATGGAACCTCGAAAAGTTCATGAAAAGATTCACATTATCTTTTAATTCTGTTTTTTTCAATTAACTTTTTGAAGTACCCTAATAGCTATAATTCAATCTTATTTATGAACATAGAAGCAATAATCCTAAATAAAATATTATCAAGTCAATCCAGAAGTATATTAAATAATATGATATTATGACCAAGTAAATATTACCCCAGTATTGCAAGGATGGTTCAACATTACTGTGATTGACTACATTATCAGAATAAGAGAACAAGCCAATAGATGCCGAGAAACCAGTTAATAAAATTCAATACTCACTCATTTTTAAAAGAAAAAAACCCCACAAACTAGGATTAAAAGAGAACTAATTTAACTTGATGAAGCTACCTACAGAACTGTACAGGAAATATCATGCTTCATGGTGAAACATCAGGAGCATTTTCATCAAGTCAGAAATAAGATAAAGATACTCAGAGTCACCAGTACTGCTTGTCATTATATTGGAGATTCTAGCCAATGCACTAAATCTGGAAGAAAACAGAGGTGTAAGGATGGAGGGAAAAAACCCCAAATTTTGGTTATTCACAGACCATATGATTATCTACTCAGAAAGCTTTAGAGAATCAAATGACAGAAGGGAGACAAGATGGGGGACTAGAGGTGCCCAGGGCATGTTCCTCTCACAGAAAAAGACCAGAAAAGGAATGGACATCTAAATACTAAAGACAGCATTGGTGGGAGAGTGTGGAAGGGCAGTAGGAATCTGGTGAGAACTCAGTGGACCACAGAAGCCCAAGAGGGTGGCAGAGAGAAGAGAAAGAGTCACAGGGCTTCAACTGCCGTGCCTCCAACACCAGAATTGGCGCAGCAGGAATTCTCATAATGAAAAGAATCTGCTCCACAATGAGCACTTTCTAGCAGTAATACTTCTCTTGTTCATGCTCCAGCCCACCACCAACACTGCCATAGCTGCTGCCACCATTTTCTGCCCCCAGGGTTGCTATGCATCTTTCCACCCTAGCCTCTGCTGCTCCTGATGCAGCTCCTCCCACCGCCACTACTCCTACCTCCCAGCACAGCAATTCGGACCCACTCCTCATTGCAGATGCTGCCACTCTCACCACCCAGCCTGGGTGCCACCAGCTCCACCTTGTCCAGATCTGGATGTTCCTGTGTTTTACCAGACAGGAAGAAAGATGAAAGAGGTGAGCAAGCACAGCCCTATGCACCTTGGTGTGGGAGCTACTTCTGCTGCCCACATGACTACTTGGCCCCAGGGAGGGACACATCCGGAACTAATGGTGAGTCTAGAAACAGGATAGCCAAATAGAGTACAAAAGAAAATAGCCACCACCAAACAATCCTCAACCCAGGATAAGAAAAGTCCCAGAAGGAGCCTCTGCCTGCAGTAGAGAAAAGAGAAACCCAACCGAGTCTCACCCATTCAAGCTCAGGAGCTTCAGTATACCCTGTTGTATCCATAAGGATCATGGAACACTAGCTGGAGCGCCAACAGGTCCAACTAGGGACATCCACCTCACCCAAGGAGCAACAGGGCACCTGGGTGCTTCTTCCAGGAGCTGGAGCGCTCACCCACGTCCTCAACAACACAACTCAGTGCCACTCACTTCAACAAGAAGCCACCAAGTGCCCCAGTGCCTAGGTCATGGAGGCACTCACAGACACCTTTGACACTGAATACATCTGAAGTAATCACACAGAGACTACACTATTGCGTCTACTCGGAACCATAACTAAAACACCCTATAGTGAGTGTAAAACACATCTACAGGAGGGAATCTCTCTCCTCAAAAGCCACTCCTGGGTAATAGAAGAAGGCACTGTTCCACTAGACGTCCAGACATCAACATAGGGATACCATAAATATGAAAAAAACAGGAAAATGTGATACCACCAAAGAAATAAAATAATTCTCAATTACCAGACCCCAAACAGCAGGAAACCACTGAGATGTTTGAAAAGTGCCGAGCAACAATGTTAAGGAGACTCAGTGAGATATAAGAAGACTGAGATGACACAACAAAATAAGAAAAGCAATCCAGGAAATGAAGGAGGAAATTTACAAAGAGATATAGTCCATAAAAAGAATACAGCAGAAATTCTGGAACTGAAGGATTCATTCAGTGAAATGAAACTACAACAAAAGGTTACAGCAGCAGACTAGAGCAAGCAGAAGAAAGAACTTCTGATCCTGAAGACATTCTCTTTGAAATGACCAAGGCAGATGAAAAAAAAGAAAAAAAAAAAAACAGAATCAAAATAATGAAAATCTAAGAGACCTAGGAGACAACCTTAAGCACACAATTATCATAATCATGGGTGTTCTAGATGGACAGGACAAAGGAAAAGGCATTGAAAACATATTCAATGAAATAATAGCAGAAAACATCCCAGGTATTGGGAAAGTGAAAGACTTCCAGATCCTAAAGGCTCAAAGATCCCCCAAAAGTTTCAATCCAAAAGGGTCCTCTCTGAGATGCATTATAGTTAAATTGTCAAAAATCAAAGACAAAGAGAAAGTCTTAAAAATAGCAAGAGAAAAACATCAAGTCACCACCTATAAAGGAGTCCCCAACTCACTAACAGATGATTTCTCAGCAGAAACCTGACAGACCAGAAGAGAATGGGATGATATATTTAAAGTACTAAAAGAAAAAATCTACCAGCCAGTAATAGTATACCTAGCAAGGTTATCCTTCAGAAATAGTATATTCCCAGACAAACAAATATTGTGGGAGTTCACCCCCACACTTCCATCCTTAGAAGAGATCCTCAAGGGAGTCCTTCATCAAGAATCTAAAAAATAATAATCACCACCATTAATACATGAGAAGGAACAAAACCCAATGGCATAGCAGATATGCAAACAAGAAAGAGAGACTATATCTTACCACATCAAAAAAAAAAAAAAAAAAAAAAAAAAAAACAAACACCAAAGACAAATAAAAGGAAGAAAAGGAACAAAAGATATTTAAAACAGCCATTCAAAAATCAATAAAATGCCAGGAGTAAGATAACACTTTTCAATAACAACCCTGAATGTAAAAAGATGATTGAATTCCCCAGTCAAAAGACATTGACTTGCTGAATGAATTAAAAAATTAAACCCAACTATGTGCTGCCTACAAGAAACAAGAAACTCTGCTCACTTTTAAGGATTCACCCAGACTAATGGTGAAGGGGTAGAAAAAGATATACCATGCAAATGGAAACCAAAAACGAGCAGGATTAGCTATTTTCATATCAGATAAAATAGATTTTAAACCAAAAACTATAAAAAGAGACAAAGAAGGTTAACATATAATGATAAAGGGATCTATCCAGCAAGAAGATATAACAAGCATAAATATATACGAACTCAACATTAGAGCATCCAGATATATAAAGCAAACATTATTAGACCTAAAGAGAAATTTGGACCTTAATACAATAGTAGTTGGGACATCAACACCCCTATCTCCATATTGAACTGATCATCCAGTCAACAAATTAACAGAGAAACACACAATTTAAACTACACTTTAGACCAATTGAACTTAGCAGATATCTATAGAACATTTCATCCAACAACTATGGAATATATATTCTTCTCATCAGCACATGGAACATTCTCCAGGATAGACCACAAGTCAAATCTCAACAAATTTAAAAAATTTGAAATCATTTCAAGTTATTTTTTCAGACCACAATGGATTAAAACTAGAAATCAATAATAAGTTAAATTTTGGAAACTGTACAAACACATGGAAATTAAACAACATGCTCCTGAACAGCCTATAAGTGCAAGAAGAAATTAAACAGGAGATCAAAAAATTGCTTGAAACTAATGAGAATAAAGACATGTCATACCAAAACCTGTGGGATACTGTAAAAGCAGTACTAAAAGGGATGATTATTGCAATAAATGCTTACATCAGAAGAACAGAAAGACTTAAATTTAACAACCTAAGGTTACACCTCAAGGAATTAGGAAAACAAGAAAAATCCAATACCAAAATTAGTAGACAGAAAGAAATAATTAAGATCAGAGCAAAACTAAATGAAATAGAGACCAAAAAATGACAGAAGAGATCACCAAAACACAAAGTTGGTTTTTTGAGAAGGTAAACAAAATAGACAAACTATTACCTAAACTAACTACAAAAAGAAAGAAGGCCCAAATAACAAAAATCAGAAATGAAAAAGGAGACATTACTACTGACACCACAGAAATATGAAGAATCATTAGAGAGTATTATGAACAACTATACAACAACAAATTTTAAAACCTCGTGGAAATGGATAAGTTTCTGGATACACGCAAAGTACCAAGACTGAACCAAGAAGAAACAGAAAACCTGAACAGGCCAGTAACAACTAATGAGATTGAAACAGTAATCAAAATTCTCCCAACCAAGAAAAGCTGAGGACTGGATGGTTTTCACTTTTCAACTATTCCAGAAAGTTGAAACAGAGGCCATTCTTCCAAACTCATTCTATGAGGCCAGATCACCCTGATGCAAAAACCAGACAAACATACAACAACAACAAAAAAGAAAACTACAGGCCAGTATCCTTGATCAATATAGATGCAAAAATCTTCAACAAAATAATTAGCAAACAGAATACAACAGCACATCAAAAAGATTGTACACCATGATCAAGTGGGATTCATCCCAGGAATGCAAGGATGATTCAACATATGTAAATCAATAAATATGATATACCACATCTACAAAACCAAGGGCAGAACTATATGATTATCTCAATAGACACAGAAAAAGCATTTGACAAAATTCAACATCCCTTCATGATAAAGACTCTCAAAAAAATAGGTATAGAAGGAAAATATCTTAACACAATATAATCCATATATGATAAACCCACTGTCAATATCATCTTGAATGGGGAAAAGCTGAAAGTCTTTCCCTTAAGAACAGGAATAAGACAAGGATTCCAATTCTCACCACTCTTACATTAAGTGAAATAAGCCAGGCACAGAAAGAGAAATACCACATGTCCTCATTCATAACTGGGAGCTGTATAAATAAATACATAAATAAACAAGAAAGAGAAAGAAAGAAAGATCACAATAGAACACTGAACATTCAAATGGAGAGAACAGAACTGTCGTTACTAGTTTGGAAAGGGGGAGAAGGAGAGGGTTTAGTGAAATATTGGTTAAGGGTCACAAAGAATGATCATGTTTTGTAATGATGAATATACTAATTATCCTGATTTGATCATTACATATTGTACCTAGCTATTGATATTCAACTCTGTAACCCACAAATATGTATAATCAATTACGTTTCAGATAAAGAAAACAAAGTGGAAAAAAGTATAGAAAATGAAAAAAAATCGAATGACAAATTAACAGAACTTAAACTGAATGTGTCAAAGGTGGCCATATATTGATAGCGTACTTAAATAATTTGTCTTTCTCCACACCAGCAAACATATAAGAAAAAAAATCCAGTTCCCAATAGTAATAGTAATGAAATTCACTGTAGTAATAAAACAAATTCATGAATAAACACAACAAAAGATGTAAGACATCTTTGCAAATTTGGTTTTTTTTTTTTTTGGTGGCTGGCTAGTATGGGTATCTGAACCCTTGATCTTGGTGCAGAATTTTGTAAAATATTATTAAATAGTATAAAATTGCTAAATAAATGGAAAGATATATTTAATTCTTATTTGATATGAGAAATCAATATTATAAAAAGTCAATTTTACGAAAAATTATTCCTTAAATTCACATTATTCACATTCAAAATTTTAAGATTTTTTTAAATGAAACTGACAAGCTGATCATTTGTAAATGTAGTGAAGATGGTTTTAAAAAAGAACAAAGATGAGTATATTTTCCTTACCAGTTTTGAAAGTATTATAAATCTGTAGTGACTAAAATGTGTGTTAATGTTGCAGGAATACATAGTGGAATAGAAGAATGTCTAGAAATGGAGTCATGTTTACATGGAAACTTTGACGTGCCTCTTTTTCTCTTGCTAATGACTTTCCAGTTGTTTTGAGATTAAAAGATTATAGTGTCCAAGGGTGGGTAGAGATTTATTAGTAATTTCCAGAAGTAACAAAGCTACCTTAAATTATTATTTCTGACACTCAAACTGATACTTACATTATCTGAAACTTTTCAACCTTTTTCCAGATGTTCATTCTCTTAGAAAAAATAAGAACATAATCAGCATTTTATGTTAAAGGAAGATCTTATCATGACTTAATGTGTCATTGACAACAAAAGTAATGTCTCTAACCATTTTGATCACTTTAATGGGTGCTTTTTCTTATTTTAGGGACTGCAGTTATGGGTCCCCCTGGCCCCCCTGGATTTCCTGGAGAAAGGGGCCAGAAAGGTGATGAAGGTCCACCTGGAATTTCCATTCCTGGACCTCCTGGACTTGATGGACAGCCTGGGACTCCTGGTCTTCCAGGGCCTCCTGGCCCTCCTGGCCCTCACATCCCTCCTAGTAAGCTGTATTTTTCTTTTGCTAAGTTCTGTTGTTGTTTTTGTTTATTTCATTCATCTGTGAATCTCACTGAAGGTTGTTGACATCATTCCTTGTGTTTCTGCTATCTAAGAGGTTCTACTTGCGCTTCTACTTTTGGTTTTTGGCAATTCTTTATGTTTAAATTTGCTCTTCCAATAGTGTTTATTGTCAGCAATATTATATCTTCCTTTTGCTTGTAGATAGTTGTATATCTGCAGAGAAGTCACTGAAAATAGGTCTTTTTTTGTAGCTGGTCAGGCTTTCTTTTTGCTTAGACTCCTGGGTATTTCACAGTTAGCTTGCTATCCTTTCTTTATCTTGTCTCAGGTGATGAGATATGTGAAGCAGGCCCTCCAGGCCCTCCAGGATCTCCAGGTGAAAAAGGTCTGCAAGGAGAACAAGGAGTGAAAGGTTTGATCCCTAAACGTTCATTTCTTCATTTTTTCAGATCATCAGCAAAATTCCCGGTATCCTTTATGCTACCTCAGCTGCTATCTCCCACGATTATACCCCAAGACCATCTCATTGCCAGTAGTGTACACTGATGTAATCTTGATTTCATGAATCTTGTTTTCTGGTTACTATCTCCTATCTTCCCAGCTCACTACTTCTAATAACCTGACTCCAACATTACTTCAACCCCACTGAGACCTACCAACTTTGATTACCTCTCTACTTTTTTCTTCCCTCCTAACCTAGCTTAAATTCCATGATTAATCACTGTAATGAATCCATTAATAAACCTTTGATTCCTTTGCCCTACTCTCACTTCAGTGTACTGACGTGGAACAAAAGCATAGCCCTGATAATTCAAAATTTCCACCTCTTCTGAGTGTGCACCTTCACTTTTCAAATTTCTGACACCTCCTCCCGAATTCTCGTTTTAAGATTCTGACCTTGCTTCCTTCCGCACTGACCAATTAAAGTTATAATAAGAGAAATTTCACAGATTGCCACCACCACATTTATCCACCTACTTGCATCTGTGCCCATATATTTTGCCTTCTTGCCTATTACTATTACGGTTCCTATCTAAAGCCAATTCTTCTATTTGTACAATAGATTCCATTCCCTCTTGTTTCCCCAAAGATTTTGATCCAGAAGTTCTTGCCTTTCTCACATCGTCAATTTTCCCTCTCTACCGGATCATTACTAGCAGCACACATTTATGCTTTTTTCACCCATCAAAAAAATACCTTATGGTAATCCTGCTTCCCCTGCCAGGTACTGCTCTATTCTTCTGCTCCCATTTTTTAGCAAAACTCATGAATTTTCTACTTACTATCTCTAGATACTCTCCTCCCATTTTCTCTTCAACATATTTCAATCAGGATTTCACCCCCGCCCCCTACTACCTACCACTCCACAGATGCCAGTCAAAGTCACCAGAAGCCTATACTGTGCTAATTCAAATGTCGAGTCTCAATCCTTTTCTTACTTGCTTCTTCCCATCTTTAGACACTTTCTTCATTTGGCTTTCAGTACATTACATTCCTCATTTTTCTTCATACCTCCTTGGTTGCATGTGTGCGCATGTGTGTATGTACATAAAACCCACTTAACCACCATCTAAACCAAAATATAGAACATTTCCAGGACCCTTGAAAACTTTCTTGTGCCCCCCCAGTTAGTATCTCCAAAGGTAACCATTATTTTATCCTCTATCACACGTTAGTTTCCGTAATCTTTAACTTTGTATAAATGGAATCACATGGTATGAGCTCTTTTGTATCTGATGTGTCTGATTTCTTTTGCCAAATATTATGTATGTGAGATATATTCAAGTTTTTGTTTGTAAAAGTAATTTTTTTTACTGCTCTTTGGTATTCCATTGTACACATTTACCTCAATGTCCATGTAATGTTGATGGATATTTTCGTCTGGAGCTATTAATAAAGCTGCCATGAACATTCTTATACTTATTTTTTCTAGGACATAAGCACTCATTTCTGTTGGGGATATACATGGGAATGGAATTGCTGGGTTATAGGGCAGGCGTAGGTTTTGTTTCATAGATATCACCAAACCGTTTTTCAAAGCAATTTTAATTTGCATTTCACTGATGAATTATTGATAACGGGGTTCTTTCTTATGGTTTTTATACTCCGTTTTGTAAAGTGCCTAACTTCCTCATTTTTAATTTGGTTTTGGATGTATGTATTACAATTATCTTCTCCCATTCTGTGACTTGCTTTTTTAGTCAAGTCTTTTGTAAAAAAAAAAAAAAAAGTTATTAATTAAATGAAATCAAATTTAACAATGTCTTGTTTTATGGTTAGTGTTGCTTATGCCCTGTTATAGAAAGCTTTGCTTATCCCAAAGACCTAATGATACTTCTCTGTGTTTTCTTCAAGACACTGTATCATTTTACTTTTTTGTGTTTTGATCTTTGACTTGTCTTCAGTTAATTTTTGTGTGTATTTTGAAGCAGGGATAAAAGTTCATTTTTCCCATATGGATATCCCGCTGATTTATATTTGAACTGTTGCTCTAAATTATACGACCATATATGTATGTGTCTGTTTCTGACCTCTCTGTTCTATTCTATTTGTCTCTTGTTGCATCAATACCAGATTTTCTTCATTACTGTGGTTTTATAGCAAGTTGTGGATATTCTAAGTTCTTTGCATTTCCATCTACATCTTAGAATTATCTACCCAACTTTTAATTTTTTTTTAACTGGTTTAGATGTCTTTTTATTGTTACTTTGTAAGAGTTTACATATTCTAGATATCAGTCCCTTGTCAGACATATGATTTGCAATTATTTTCTCCCATTCTGTGAATTGTCTTGTCACTTTTTTGTGTGTGTGTGAATTAGCTTTTTTTTAAAAAAATTTTATTTTGTCGATATGCAATGTGGTTGATTATTGTGGCCCATTACCGAAACCTCCCTCCCTCCTCCGTCTCCTCCCTCCCAACAATGTCCTTTCTGTTTGCTTGTCGTATCAACTTCAAGGAGTTGTATACCCAACTTTTAAGTTTGAAATGCCCCAGGGTTCAGTTCTTGTTCCTCTTCTCTTTACCTAAACTCATTCATTCAGTCTCATGACTTTTAATACCATCTCCTTGCCAGTGACTTCCAAGTTTATATCTCCTATCCATATACAACTCTTTTACTCTAGATTTGTACATCCAACTGCCTACTCAACATTTTGAACTTGACATCCTGATCAAGTTGAAGGCCTGATCTCTGCAACCTCCTCCCCCATAATTACTCCACTCACATTTTTCCTTTCTTACTTATAAAGCAGGCCACTCTAGCCTAGTTGCTTGTGCTAAAACCTTGGAGTCATCTTAGATCCCCCCCTTATTTTTTATTCCATATATGATCCATGAGAACATCCCATTGGCTCTACTTTCAGATATGTCTAGAATCTAACTAATTCTGACCATCTTCATTGCCGTTGCTCTGGGATGAGCTACTACTGTCTCTCTCCTAGATCACTACAGATTAGGTGGTTACCCTGCTTCCATTCTTGCCCTTAAAGTCTGTTCTTAACATAGCAGCAGCCAGAGTCATCCTTTAAAACTTAAGTTATATCATGTTGCTTTTCTGTTTGAATTCTTCTACTAGATTTTCATTTCACTCACAGTAAATGCCACGATATGCCACTCTCTTCCCTGGCTCCCTTTCCTCACTCTGCTCCAGCATTCTTTCCAAGTACTCTGCTCTAGTCTGCTCACTGTTTTTTGTATATGCCAAACATAGCTATTCTTACTGCCTGGAATTTTCTGTACTCGTTATGCACATGCCGTGTCCTTTGTTTTTGTTTTTGTTTTTTTTTTTTATCATGTATCATCTTCTCAGTGAGTTTTATCCTGACCTGCCACCATCCCTGGCATACCCAAACCCAGTTACCCAGTTCTATTTTTTCCCATAAACGTAGCATCTTTTAATATATATATTACAGTATTTAATATATGTTGAATATATTTAAGTATTTAGTGTATATAATTTAATAATTTATTATGTTCATTGTTTATTATCCCTTTCCACCAGCAGATGTGAGCTCCATGAAGGCATGGATTTTTGTCTCTTTTGTTTACCAATGTATCACAAACACCTGGAACAGTTCTTGGCACACAGTAGACACTCAGTAAATATTTGTCAATTGAATTGATTCTATATATAGGCTTCTTTAACCACATCGTTAGGTAGGAATGCTGGCCCTTAGTGTTAACTTTGTTAGAACCTATCTAAAGAAGGTGTATGTACCTCTTCCAGTAACATTTTTTTTTAAATTATGATTTTCTCTAGGTGACAAAGGTGACACCTGCTTCAACTGTATTGGAACTGGTATTTCAGGGCCTCCAGGTGAACCTGGTTTGCCAGGTCTCCCAGGTCCTCCAGGTAAAACATTCTGCCTTAAGGAAACCTTTTAAAATATTTCTTGGCTAGATTTTATTGAACTCATAGGTTCAGAATGTTGCCAGTTTCTCATTTTATAGCTAGTCAGTCATATCTATAAATAATTAAATATGAAATGCCTCTATCTTCTATGAAATAAATTATGCTCTTATTTCTAATACCTGAAGCTACCAACATTTTTTGTTTAAAACATTTTGGCAATATTATTCTTTCAGGAAACATATTTTCCCAATTTTCCATATGGACAGGAAAATAACTTATACAGAGTCAGACTTCTTTCTTCCAGAAAATTGGTGAAACAGTTCATAATACCTAGGCCCTGAGTATAGTTTCCAATGGCAGAGCTCCTAGTCATTGAGGATGTTTCACATGTTGTCATTAAGGAATGGGGCTTCTATTGGAGTTTGGGAACTAACTGCCAGTATTCCTCTCTCTATATATAACTCCTCCCTCCCTAGGTCCAGTCAAAACCATATTTGATATCTTTCAGACCCACAACTGTTTTACTCAACTGACTTCCTCTTGGGATTTCCCAATATTATATTCTCTTGAAATCACACTTTGTGTCTGAGTCAGGGCTGAAAATAGAAATCAGACCTCTTACCTTTCTGTCTAGTGTGTCTGCCAAAGACACCATTTTACTTTCAGCAAATCTTTCAGGTGCCACTAGAAGTAATCTTAGTCTTATACCTCTGCTCTAGTGGTTCTCAAACTTGGGAGTGCATCAGAATCACCCGGAAGGCTTATCAAAACCCAATTTGCTGTGTTCCACCCCAAGGTTTCTGATTCAGTAGGTCTGGAGTAAAGGCCCAAGAATGAGAATTTCTAACTATTAACAAGGTGATGATGATGCAGCTGGTCCAGGGGTCCATTTGAAAAACAACTGCTTTTTAGTAATGTTTTCTCTAGTTTTGGGGCATTAAACTTTTCACATAAAACAAATTTTAGGAAATAACAAACCAAAGGATTGGTAAGGATCTAGGAAAATTGTATAAGTCAGAACAGAGATATGCAGACTTTGAAAAAAATCTCCTTCTTTTCTCCTTTTCAATGAGATAGGTATGAGAGCCTAAGCACCTTCTGTGCATGGTATTTGGTAGCAAGCTCCGAGAAAGGCTGCTTTGGAGTTAGAAATACATAAGGATACAATATTGTATGTAACATGAAATGTTAAATTTATTTGAAAGAAACATTATTTCCTCACTGTGTGACCATAAAAGAAGAAATTAAAAATATGACTTAAATGGGATTGAATAGGGTTTTTATTTTAAAACTTGTCTTCCTGACTTGCTGATTTCTATATGAGCTTTGTCAAGGCTTTACACTCAAAGCTCACGTTATCGTGTGTGTGTGTGTGTGTGTGTGTGTTTGTGTGTGTGTATGTGTGTGTGTGTGCGCATGCTAGGATCTCTTGGTTTTCCTGGACAGAAGGGTGAAAAAGGATATGCTGGTGCAACCGGTCCCAAAGGATTACCAGTAAGTTTTGAGTACATTATAAAACAAAAAGTAGAAGGAAGCTATTTATACTTCAATTTTTACTAATGGATATTTATGTATGCCATAAATTTAGTTTTTCAATTAAGTTGTAATTTGTTTAATTCCTTGACTCTCCCTTACTCACATGCCCCATTTGATTCAGTGCTTTGTATGCTAAATATTATTGGGTGGGTTAATGGGTTAAACTGGAGAGAATGCATTAGAAAAAAAAATGATTTTCTTTTTCTCTTTCTTCTTTTTTCCCCTTTCTTTCTTTTCTTTCCCCCGTCAGGGCATACCAGGAGCTCCAGGTGCTCCAGGCTTCCCTGGATCTAAAGGTGAACCTGGTGACATACTCACTTTTCCAGGAATGAAAGGTGATAAAGGAGAAGTGGGTTCCCCTGGAGTTCCAGGGCTTCCTGGTTTACCGGGCACCCCTGGACAGGATGGTTTGCCAGGGCTTCCTGGCCCCAAAGGAGAACCTGTGAGTTGGTTTGATGTTCTTGGTTTTGTGATGTCAGGTTTTCACTAAGACATTTTTCCTAGATTAGTACAAAGGATGGGCCTAGTACTTAGATGAACACCCAAATCATGGCTTAAATGAATATGATTATATAGTAGTGGCACATGGTTACTGACTGTAGTGTATCTTCACTACTCTTTTCTCTCAGTTGTTTCATAAACCACTTGTCACCCATTAGTATACTGAGTAATATTGGCTATGAATAGGTGCTTATGAGTCAGTGTGAGGCTCTTCATCTCTTACCCCACATATCCTTGTCTGGGTTTATTTAGACCTGATGACCAGAAATCTAACTTGGTTTTTATGTATAGTAAACTTAGAATTTAGTATGACTAGATGTCCATGTTGTGAAAAGGCTGAACATGAGTGAATGGTCTCATTTTGTGCATAACACACAGCCCAGGATATTTAAGTGGGAAGTGATCTTTTATGATTTGTTAGCTAGACTCTAACCTTTAGTTATATATTAAATATGTTAGCTAGACTTTAGATACTAAGCTTCATGAGGGCAGAGATTTTTGTCTATTTTTATTGCCTGCTGTATCACCAGCACCTGGCACATAGTAGGTGCTCAAAAATATTTATTGAAGGAGTGAATGAATCTGTGGAGTAATCAAACGTACCATCACATAATACTACTCACTTATATAGCTTTTAAAAAGAAATAATTATAGCTGTATTGTTTCCCTAGTTGTATTCATTAATACTAACCTATAGATAGTTGTAGATACTACAATGTGTTTCTATATTAAACTTTTCCCTTTTCAGGGTGGAATTACTTTTAAGGGTGAAAGAGGTCCCCCTGGAAACCCAGGTTTGCCAGGTCTCCCAGGGAATATGGGGCCTATGGGGCCTCCTGGTTTTGGCCCTCCAGGCCCAATAGGTGTAAAAGGCATACAAGGTATGGCAGGAAATCCAGGCCAGCCAGGAATACCCGGTAAGTTTAGTATGGTTGTTTGTTTTATTTTAAATTTGGTACTTACAAGTAAAAATGTATTATCTTTTGGTCACTCTTGGTTCCTTTCAAGAGAAATGTCTTTCCCTGGCCATTTATATTTGGAGTCTTTAGATCTCCTTAGCAAAGGAACACAATGTGTTTTTTTTAAGGGAGGACTTCTCTTTAAATTTTTCTGATTGTCTTCATTGTTATTGTTATTTTTGTCCTTAAGTATTTGATATATAATACAAAGTTTAACAACTAATTATAATGGAAACACATATATAACTACCATGCATGTCAAGAAATAGAACATTGCTGATGGGAATGTAAATTAGTACAGCCATTATGGAAAACAGCATGGATTATTATCAGTAGTACAGCCATTATGGATAACATTTCTCAGACAACTACAAAATGGGACTACCACATGATCCAGCAGTCCCACTATTGAGTATATATCCAAAGGAATGGAAATCAACAAGTTGAAGGGATACCTGTAATCACATGTTTATCGCAGCTCTATTCACAGTAGCTGAGAGTTGGAACCAACCTAAATGTCCTTCAGTGGATGACTGGATAAAGAAAATGTGGTCTATATACAGAAAGGAATACTATTCAGTCATAAAAAAAGAATGAAATTCTGCCATTCTCAATGACATGGATGCGCTTGGAGAAAATTATGTTAAGTGAAATAAACCAGATGCAGAAAGAAATATCACATGTTCTCACTCATATGTTGAAGCTAGAAAAGTTGATCTCATAGAAGTAAAGAGTGGAATAGTGGTTATTGGAGACTGGTGGGGGAAAGGGCAGAGGGGAATGGGGAGAGGCTGTTCAGTGGATACAAAATAGTAGAGAGATAGGAAGAGTGGCATGCAATGTTCTATAGTACTATAGGGAGACTACAGTTAACAACAAAGCACTGTGTATCTTTGAATAGCTATTGAGGATGATGTTGAATGTTCCTAACACAAAGAAGTGACGAATGTTTGAGGTGATGGATATACTAAGCACCCTGATATGATCATTTCACACAGTATGAATGTACCCAAGAATTATATTTTACTCTATAAATATATACAATTACCATGGGTCAATTAAGAAAAATAAAAGAGAGAGAAATAGAGTAGAATAGTGGTTACCAGGGGCAGGGAAAGGAAGGGGGTGGGGGGCCAGGAAAATGTTGGTAAACCAGTACAAAGTTACAAAGTTACAGTTAGATAGGAGGAATAAGTTCTGGTGCCCTAAGGTGACAATAGCTAATAATATTGTATTACATATTTCAAGATAGCTGGAAAGAGGATCTTGAATGTTATAATCACAAAGAAATGATAAATGTTTATGTGATAGATATGCTAACTATTCTGATTAGATCATTATACAATGTATGCACATGTTGAAACAACAAGCTGCATCTCATAAAAATGTACAATGAAATAATAAATTAAAAGAAATAAAGACATAGAACACTGCCAGCATCCTGGAAACCCCCTCCCTCCTCTCCACAACCTTTCCTGATCACAGTCACCTCTCTCCTGTCCAGAGGTAACCACTGTCCTGATTTTTGCATTCTTTCATCCTCCCCACCCCCTGGTTTATCACCTGTATACATATATGCACTCCTAAGCAACGTACTTTAATTTTGCTTCTTTTTGAACTTCATATTAATGGAATCATAGAGTAAGTGTTCTTTACATTAACTTTTTTATAGCTATAGTATATTCATTTTTTTCACTGTATAGTATCCCATTGTATGAGTGTGTACGTGTATGCGTTCATGTGTGTGTGTGTATCACATTTGATTCATCTATTTTGTTAATGAACGATTGGACTACTTACAGTTCAGGCCTATTATGAATAATATTTCTATATACAGTCATACACATGCACACACACACACACACACAAGACACACACGAGGGGGTCTTCAAAAAGTTCGTGGAAAGATTGGCATTATCTTTTACTGTCATTTTTCCAAGAACTTTTTGAAGTACCCTCATATATATATCCTGGTGTTCATGTGCTCATACATTTTCTAGGGCAGGGTTTGGCAAACTACAGCCCATAGACCAAATCCAGCCTACCACCTATTGTTATAAAAAAAGTTTTATTTGAGCACATCTACATCATTCACCATTGTCTATGGTTGCTTTTGCACTACAACAGCAGAGTTGAGTAGTTGCTACAGATACCATGACGTCCACAAAGCCTAAAGTATTTAACTGTCTGGTCCTTTACAGGAAAAGCTTACCAATCCCTGGGCAAGAGTATATATTTAAGATTAGGATTTTTAAGGCATAGGACAAGTGCATCTTCAGCTCAACTAGACAACTACAAACTATATTCTGAGCAATTATACCAATTTATACTACCTCAAGTAGTGCTGGAGATTTCTTGTTGCTCTCAATTTTTACAGACATTTTGTATTGTCAGACTTTTATATTTTTGCTAATCTGTTGAGAGTGATGTATCTCATGGCAGACTTATTTTGCTTTTCTCTGATTACATTCAAGTTTAGCACCTTTTTGTATGTTTATTGGCCATTCAAATTCCCTTTTGTCAAATACCTATTCAAGTGTTTTGACCATTTTTTTCTATTATTTTTTCTATTTTCTATGTTTTTTCTATTCTTTTTATTGATTTAGAGAAGTTCTTTTCGTATTCTGTGTATTAGTTCTTTGCTAGCTATGTATTTTACAAAAAATCTTTACTGCATGGTTTGCCATTTTCACTCTCTGTTGGTGCCTTTAATGAACAGAAATCAGTTTTAATGTAGTCAAATTTATCATTCTTTTCTCTAATGGTTAGTGCTTTTTGTATCATGTTTAGGAAATCCTTCTTTTTCCTGAGCCCATTTCAATCTCCTATTTCAATTAATGAGTAGTAGTTGTACTAGGACTTTGTACATATAAAACCTAAAGGTACCACTAATTAACCCAAAGAAATATTTTCCTTGTTTACTGCAGTTCAGTTTTTCTTAGGTTCTTCTGGCATACATTAAAAAATATATTTTTATAGGTAACATCTTGTATTAGTCAGGGTTCTCCAGAGAAACAGAACCAATAAGATGGATGGATGGATGGGTGGATAGATAGGTAGAGAGAGAGATAGATATAGAAATACATGAGAGAGGATTTATTAGGGGAATTGGCTCATGTGATTATGGAGGCTGAGAAGTCCCAAAAAAGGCTGCCTGCAAGATGGAGAACCAGGGAATCTAGTAGTGTGGCTCAGTCCAAGTCTGAAGACATGAGAACCTCGGGGGCTGCTGGTGCAAGTCCCAGAGTCTGAAAGCCAGGTAAGCTGGAGTTCTGATATCCAAGGGCAGGAGTAAAAAAAAAAAAGGGAAAATTCGCCTTTCCTCTGCCTTTTTGTTTTATCCAGGTCCTCAGGTGGTTGGATGGTGCCCATCGACATTGGGTGAAGGCTGATCTTCCTTACTCACTCCCCTTATTCAAGTACCAGTCTTTTCCAGAAACACCCTCACACATGTACCCAAAAATAATGCTTTACCAGCTATCTGTAGATCCCTTAATGCAGTTGAATTGACACCTGTAACTAACCATTACACATCTTCAATTATGGAAGCTCTTAATGCTGTCATCTACTTTTAGTTTTTGAAATTTCATCCTTCTGTTTGATATCTGCCTTGAATATATAATGCGGAATTGTTTTTCTTGTGGATTTTTATTAGTTGCTTTTTTTTTTTTTTTTTTTTTTGGT